ACCCCTTAACACTTAGACAAATTTGCAAGTATAATTTTAATTAATGAAGTCCATAGTACATGAGTTTGTTATTATAAGTCCTAAGTGGTTGAAGAATTTCAGTTTGATTCTATTGTGCATAAGTTCGATGTTATCATGAGTCTGATAGAGTTCTTAGTTTGATGCTAGTTGTTGCTTTAATTTTTAAACATCATAAAGTACAAGAAGGTCGAACTAGAGTAACAAGCAAGTCAATACATAATCAGCAGAAGTATAAAAAAAGCATAACTGAAAAAGGCAAAGGAGTTGAGAAAGTAACTTTCATTAAATAAAAGTATTTACATTTGGTAGGCCGAAGCCACTTACAAAAGAAAATATAAATACATGAGAAGACCTAACAAGTGAGGGGAAGGAGGGAGGAGCCACAAAAGGGACCATTGCATTGGGAGCCACTCCTTCAGCTACTTGTTCAGCTGCATCGTCCTCAAGTTCAATCACTTGGCTTCCCTCTGTCGGAGTTTGAAGCTCAGATTCCTCCTCCAAAAATTCTACCCTCAACATGAGTGTCGATGCCTTGAATGTTGACCTCTAACCACTCTCTCATATCAGTATAGGCATACCTTTGCCAATACTTAGCAAAACTTTGGTATACCTTAGTCAAATGGAAGTTGGGGAGGAATCGTTTCTTAGCTTCGCTACCAGCAGATTGGGCCTCCTGCCTGGCAGTTTCCACTTCTTCAGTTAAATCAACCACCTTGGAGTTCAACTCTCCCATCTGTCCCTTCAGTAAAGAATTCTCTTTATTGGCCTTCTTCAAAGCCTCAGCTGTCAGCTTCTGATGGGCATCAGAAGCCTCCACTCACTTCGTTAAGAAGGCCACCTTGCTTTAGGATAGGTGAACCTCCTTCTTAAAATTCTCAATTTTTGCTAAGGTAGAAGCGAGCTTCACAGACTCCTCTATTTTTTCATTCTTCAACGCATCTGCCTCGGCATGGGCTTTGCGACAGCCTCCTCAGCTTGAGAGGCTTTTTAGCAAATTTTCTATTTTTTGATTGAAGGTTTTTAAAAAGGGCTTCAGCCTCTATAGCCACACCAACGGCCCTCCCTACTTAGCTCACCATTGTGAAGAAGACGTCCATGACGTTGCTGGTCTCCACAAAATCTTGTCACCTCTCCATCCACTACTTATGAAAAGTGATTGTGGCAATTTGTACTACTAGAGGAAATAGAGACAGACTTTCAGGAGCCAGCTCATCACTTCTAGTCCTAATGGCGAGCCTCTTTCGTGAAGAAGCCTTCGAAGCTATGGAGTCGCTGGCGGACTTACCCTTTTTTGAAGGTTCCTGCCTTGAGGCTCCATGGCAGGTGGCCTCTTCTGCCCCCTGGAGGCTGCAGTAATAGAAGCTGCCATTAGCTTCTCCTCAAGAAGGATGTTGGAACGAGGCGGATGAATGTCGTTGGAGTCACCCACTCCAGTGGCAGAGAACCTCAGCTTTTTCTTAGGCTCCTCCATAACCACCTTTTTTCCCTTGTCCACTTGAGGAGGTTGGTTCTCCTCCTGACTGCCAGCCTTCCTGCTAACCTTCTCTATTTTGTCCCTCACTACTTTATTCCAGCAGATGAGGGCTTCATGCCCTTATGGCCCGAAGTGGAGGTGGCAGCGAGAATTGTGGCCATGTCCAGGTTGGGGTGCCTCATCTTCTCAAAATTTTCTACAAAAGTAAAACGCCA